ATATTTGTCTTTGAAAAACATTATATGAGTTTTATAAAATTAAATTAAAATAATTGTGTTTTACAATTAGACTTACATTCGAATAGTTAATATATATCACAGCTGGATAAGATATATGACCATATTGATTAATAGTAAGAACCCATAATGAATTTCTAAAATGAAGATATTTATTAATAGGAAGAAAAAAAAATAAGAATTTACGTATCAATCCAAATCAAAGGATTCTCTGTTGATGGATGATTTAATAAAGAATTATCATTCAGTTGAATGAGTTGTGAATGACTAGCTACGAGAAATATTGTTGGTGTTGATTTAATTATATCCAAAGGATCAAATGGAATCTTGATGAAGAAAAATAAAAAGAATTCTACAGAATAAACTATAATTTACATACTAATGAAATTTGAAGAGCATCGAAAATTAATATTTTCAAATCATTAAGATCTTGATTTAATGTATAAACAATTGTTTTTCGTTGTAAAATTGAATTAATATCTCCATATTTTTGTTTAAGAATTAAAGAAGAACTAAAGTTCAATAAATATTTTAAAGATAATAATCAAAAGAGAACACATCCATAATCATTTTGAGAATCCCTTAACCTATTTCTTTTCAAATTCATCTACCTTTCTGTTGAATATTGAAACATAAAAAAGATATGTTCATTATCCAAAAATATATCAACTAGATTTTTATAAGTATCATATACTGGAAGAAATTTTTACAGGTTAAAAAAAACAACAAAGACAAGTAATTTACTTACAAAATTTCTCTTCATATTGAATTCGAGCAATAACAATTAATCGTTGACGTGTAAGGAAATTTTCAATTAATGTTTCACTACAATCATCTTCAATTAGATATGGTTGATTAACCGAAAATCTAAATGTTCAACAGAAATTTATAACAAAAGACTTTGCCGAATTTGACGACTTGTCGTGAACTAGGATGTTATATATTTTTGAAGAATTTTTAAACTCTATCAAACCAAATATATGACATTTTAATTGAGGATAGGTCACGAAACCAGAGAAGATTCTTTATTTTATGAACTTACCGAAATAAAGCTAATGTCATTTCATTTTTATCCGTACTACCTTGATAAATTTTCTTTATTGTTTTATTTTCAATTAAAATTAATGTTGGCCATTCAAAAATATTTTCTTCATTACATATATCAGTCCAATCAAAACAATCAATATCTATCATAGATAAATAATTATGAAGATATAATGCTATTTCATGAAATGTTTTTCGTGCTAATTTCGATGTTGAATCCCATTTAACAGTAAAAAGAATAGCTGTTTTTGAATATTTTTCTTGAATATGATGATAATCTTCTTGATTTTTAAGAAATATAACATTTGAATTTATTTCAATTTCATTATAAGAATCAGCTATATATCGTACTTCATCATCAATCATTCCATATTCATCTATATTTAGTAAAATAGATATAGTTCAAAAAACAAAAAAAACTGATTACATACTTTCTAAATATTGTTCTTGTTCTTCTTTTATAAGAATATCAAGAAGTTCATTCGAAGGTTGATCACCAAGACGTTGAAATATATTCTGTAATACATTAATTATTTATTAATGGTATTAATTAATTAATATCTTACTTTCTTTGCTGACCAAAATAAATAGAATGGATATGGATCATGTAAAAATACATGATTGTTGATATCTGTTACCTTGAAATTCAATCTATAATAAAAAGCATCTCTCAATATGATTTGATCAGACTTATGTTCGATTTTTTTTTCGAGAAATGCTAATAACAATTTAAATAGTGGTTTATATAGAGAATTTTTGTTTTTAAAGATAAGAATGATTGATAATTTTCAAGAATATAGGATCTTTAAAAAATTCAAACTCAAGTTTTTCATATTTGAGAACCTACGAATAGAACTCTGTTTATATTGCACAGAATGATAGAAGCAACAGTTCTCTACAAAATGAAATGTCCAATTCTCTAAGACATTTTCTCATCAATTTTACAGAAGGTCATTTTCAAAAACCCTATACTTAGAAAACTATTAATCAGTCTCATCTTCAAAAAAACTTTTATTTGAGTCTATGACAATGACTAAAAAAAATGGAAAATAAATCTGATTGAGCATTTTTGAGAGTCAATGTATATAGACAGAATCATTCGTTAGCGACGTGACGGAATACGAGACGATACTTTTATCACCGAAAGAAAAGTTCAAAGTCAATACCAAACTATACAAATCCTTCTTCAGAGTTTCGAAGTGATGATAGGACGAAAATTTTTGTTTTAGAACTTCACACGATCTGTGGAAAACCGATTTTTCAGAAGTACTTCTACATCCGACCTTATTGAAAATTTCATCATAGATGAGATATAAGTATGTCACATTTTTGCATGAAATGATCCGTGAGACAGATTTCAGTTAATAAAAACATTTCTACTTACATATTTACTGGCATGATGATAATATTTTCATTTGATATTAAAGTAAAAGTCGAATTTGTATATATATAAAATAATGTTGGTAAAGTTCGTTGAAATACATTGACATGAGTTAAATCAAAAAATGAGTTAACAATATTCGTTCGATCTTTTCTAGCACCTATTCGCTTCTCTAATGTCATACGAATGTTTTTTTCTATGGCACATTGTGGTGACAAAACATCACTACCGAATGGATAAATACGATATAAACAATCCACTGTTTCTTTCTCGTTTCTATCATAAAAAAAAAGTATTGTATTATGTTATATATTAAGAATTAAAACTTACTTATCAATAGAATAAATAAAAGTAAACCATTGTCCATAATTTAAAATTGTTTGACTAACAGTAAGATGTACTAAAATAAAAGATTGTGCTTTCTTTTTTAATACTTTAATCTTTTTACTAAGTATAGATTATCATTCTTTTTTTTGTTATGAATTTATTCAAGATTTTTGAATAGAAGAAATTTTATATTTTATAGGTATGAGAGAAAATTAAGATTTAAATAAATACGAAAGAATTCGGTTCTATAAGGATTTTCTACAAAGTTATGATAGATGAATATCGAACAAATGATGTTTGAATTCAATGTTTAGAAATTCTCAAGAAGAGAATTTTTAAAGATGTTTTTCGAATTATTAAATTCGATTAATAGAAAAAATTTCTGATGAAAGATCGTTTAATCAAGAATTATGGTCTTTTAAGATTATTCTAATCTTGATGTCTAAAAGATGAAATCAAAAGTGATGGATCATTGACTAAGATTCAGCTTAATACTGACCGGAAACAATGAATATTGAAAATATTCCTTTCTTGGTAAAACAGAGAAAATTATGTTAGTCTCACAATAAAAATTATGAAAGATTATACAATATGAAATAAACAAGACTTTGCGTCTAATATTATCACTGATGAGACAACACTTCCGGACTGTCCAATTGGTTTTCGCTTAACGATTTTAACTTGTTATTATTACGAAGCTATCCTTCTTTTGAGTAATTTAATAAAGAAAAATTGGAAAGCTAAACTAATACGAACTTTCTTTATGCTTCTAGACTAATGACTTATCCATCAGTATAATATTCTTATACCTTGAGCTGTAAGTGCTTGAGCATTAATAACAACAATATCTTCATTATCTTGATTGGACATTATATTCTTTAATTTACTTATATCATTTATTGATTGAATACGATAGAGAATATTTGATCTAATTCAAATTTATATAGTAAAAAAATCCTAGTAAACAAATACAATCTCTTTTACATCATATCTATAACAACAGCTACTGATTCTTCTTGTATTTGTGCTTGTTGAACATGTATACGTTGATGAATTGTTAAATTTGCATCAAATCTATATAAATTATTTAAATAACTAACAAAAAAAAATCACTTATATAAAAATTACTAACTGATAGAGTTTAAAAAGTACACCATAAATACATGCACCTATTTCATCCATATTATCTATTGATAGATCATTACATAAATGCTAAAGAATAAATTTTCAAAAAAATATTTTTTAATAATAATTATTAAATTTTACATAGCTAATGAATATATGATGTTTTTGAATAAAATTATCAAATAATTTTATTTCATTTCGTGTTGTATTTAAAAATTCGGCTACAACAACAAAAAGCAAATGATTGAGTGGAAAATACCAGAGATGGACAAAATCGCACCGCGCCTAGGCGCTACGCACATCTCTCTTTCTCTTTGCTCTACCAATCACTTTCTCAAACTCCACCGAATACCGGGATGCTCTAAGCATGCGCTCATCGAAGCTCAGACTAGTGTAGCGTAGGCTTGAGCAATGGCGCGGGGAAGCGCGGTGCGACTTTGCCCATCTCTGGAAAATACAAAACAAAAAAGAAATCATGTTTTTTTTAAACTTACGAACAGGAAAATAACATTGTATTAAAATACATTGTTGATTATTACATTGTTTAAATTTCTCTTCTGAATCATCAGTTGTAACAATAGTTAAAAATAAAAAAATTATCCACCACATATTTCTTTTTTATCTTAAAACAAAAACCAATATGCTAAAGTTTTAATTTTTTGTTTTATTTAATATAAATGAAGCAAACAAAAACAAAAAAAAAGAAACATTTTTATTCATTAGACGTGACATTTAATGGAGATGAAGACGATCGTTTTAATTGATTTTCACGTTCATTAGCAACAAAAGATTCATCAAGATATCTTAAACCATTACATCGTCGTCCAGTTAATGGATCTTTAATACGACCAAGTTCATAAACAATTTCACTTATTTCATAACGTTCTAATGGATAACGACATTCAAGTGTTGGTCGTTTTTTTAATAAAACTATATCACCAACTTTTGTTTGTTCACGTTTATCAAATGCTTTATAATCAATACCTAAAACATACGAAATACAAAAAACACAATGTTTCATTGAAAATATACTGATTTTTTTTTCTTTACTAACAGCTGATATTATTCTCAGAATTCGTTTCATTATGTTTGTCTTATTTAGATTTTTTTTTTTTTGATGAAGCATAACTTACGTTGATTAAAAAACATATCAAATTTATCATCAAGTTTCATTTGTAATACTCTTACAATAGCTGTTGTTGTATTACTTTTCGTTAATACTCGACCAATAAGTAAACTTGGTAAATTTACTATTTGTGATGCCATTAATTTTTATTCTTATATCTAAAACAAAACAAAACCAAAAAAAAAAATAGAAAACATTTATAATCGAATATTTGGATCAAAATTTTGTGAAATTTTTCTTTTTCGATGTCGATCAGGATTATAATCTGATAATGAATGCCATATAGTTGATTTATCATCAACATTTCTTATAGATAAAGATTTATCATTTGTAATTGTTAAATTAGTTTCATTATCATTATCATCTTCATCATCAAGATTATTATTATACATATCAAATTCACTCATCCAATTTCGTCTTTCATTTCTTTCAATAGCCATTTGAGCATTTGACCAATGTTTACGATTATTATCTAAAGTTAAATATTGTTTAAATTCATTATCAAATATTTCATATTTAAGTGAATCAATAAATGCTTGATAATCATCTTGACGTAAAAGATTATTTGTTGTACGTTTTAAAAATGTTGATAAACTTGTACTAAATATATCAATTAAATTTATATTTAAATTACGTTGTAAAACATATTCATTTTCACGTCTAACACGTTTAAATAAACCAGCACGATAAACAAATAAATATCTTTGACGTATATGATCAATTGTATATGCTAATACACCTGATTCAACAATATCACGTGTTGATGCATATAACATTATACGTAAATAATTTATTTTATAATCAAGATCTAACCAATTTTCACTAAATAATTTTTTATGTGTACGTATTAATTTATATATTTCACGTTTTGTAAAATAACATAATAAAACATTTAAACGTTCATGTAAATAAATTAAATCATATTGTATAAGATTAGGATCATTTGATATTAATATTGAACATGTTGTTGTATCAAATTTTAATTTAAATAAATTTTCAAAACATTTTTTTAAATTTTCAATATTAATAATTGTTTTATCTGTTGATGGAAGATTAATTAATAAACGTAAAACATCAACTGGTTGTAAACCATATGAACCAAGAATATTTATTAAATTATAAAATTCTTTTGGTGACCATGTTTGAAATGAATTTAATAAATGTTGAAATATATTTGATGATAAACGAATTTTTATTGAATCAGATAAATATTGTATTACACGTATATTAAATGAAGAATCAGGAGACGATGATAAATTTGATATATCAGTTGGACATATTTCTGATGTCATATCAAGCCAATTATGACGAAGAATAGATGTTGTTGATGAAACATGTTTCTTTTTTGATGAAACATAACGTACTAAATTATAAAAATCAAAAAGAAAAGTTTATTGATGTACAATATGATGTTTAAATGTAGGAATATTTAGCTTTTAATTTTTTACTATATACTCTTAATAGTATTAAGTATTAAGAATAATAAAAAAAAAATGGAGATAATTGAAATGAAAAAATTAATACTTGTTGGTAAACGAATGATATGATAATATCGAAGACGAATAAATGATAACATGTCTAAAATAAAGAATGTAACTAAATAATTATTCTATTGAGATGTAATTAAGAACAATAGAAATTTTGTCAGTATTATAGTTAAAGTAAATATATTGTTATACAAAAAAAAAACAAAAAAAAAAAACATTCACAAAAATCTTCGTATAACAAAACTTATGATCTTTTTCAAGAGTATAAATCTTTGTTTTCTTTTTTTTTTTTTGCTATAAAATAGTTTTAAAATAAGATAATATCCTATAGAAAATACATGGTTCTCAATTCGTTTATTTAAAAATAAGATAGTAAATTAAATGAGAAGATACATTTGACGATAGTGCTTTGAAAATTGTCATATACAACCAAATGCTTCAAAAAATTCTCTTGTACTAAATCATCTTACTTCAAAAATTCCTAAATATTAAAATTCGTAATTGTTGTTGTTGTTGTTCTTAACCAATAAAACGCAAACAAAAAAAAAACCAAGACAAGATTTTATATAGAAGAATAGAATGTCCACATATGTTGACAGATGAGCATAAACTTGTAAGAAATCGAATGAAAGATAGTGTTATTTGGCTTTTCAGATAGAAGAAACAAAGAATATAATATAGAACTACATTTGAGCAAAAGAAAAAAAAATAACCCACTGCTGTTTGCATCGAACAAAATTTTTTATCATTATACACATAGTAAATGGACGAACAAACTCGATTATATTAAACGAATAAAAAAAAAAAAAGTTTTTTTTATTGATGTTTAAGTTTTAATTGATGTTCTAATGATATTCTTTTATCGATTAAATCTGTTAATTCATCTTCCCAATGTTTTAAATGTGCTTTAAGTATTGTATTACGAGTTTTAATATGATTTAATGTTATATCAAATTGTTCATTTGTTATTGTTGATGTTGATATAATTGATGATAATTCTTGTAAATGATCTGGTTTAAGTAAATCACGTATTTGTTCAAGTAAAATATTTGGATCTGATTGTTGTTGAGATGTTGAAGTTATTGATGGATGTGTTGGATTATAAAAATATGGTGTTGATGAATTATTATTATTGAGATTTCGTTGAGGTGTTTCAAGAATACTTGTACGTGGTGGTATAAGAGGTTGTTGAGGAATATCAATAGATGCTGTTCGACCAGGTACACGTGGTGGTGGTGGTGGAGGTGGTTTAGTTGTTGTTGTTTGAACAGACGGTGGTGGTGGAGGAGAAAGACGAACAGCTACAGGAGCCATTATTCGATGATTATCAGCAATTGGTTGTGCAAATGTAAATTGTTTTGGTGAATCAGTTGATTGAAAATTTGCCCAATTATCTGTTGTTGTTGTTGTTGTTGGATCAGATAGATCAATAAGTGGTGTAAATGGTTGTAATTGTTGTGGAAGTTCATCGGGTAATTGAAAACCATTAAGACGTAAAACAACAAGATGCATTGCTGTACAAAATTCTCCTAATGATAATGCACCATCATGATCAACATCAGATAAATTCCATATTTGTGATAATTCACTTGTTGGTAAATTTGAACGTTCAAAAAATTCTTTTGCTATATGACCTAAAGTAAAAAACCAAAAAACCAAGTTTTAGTTTTTTTTTCTCTTTTCGATAGAATTGAAAATTTATTCCTAACCATTAATAACTTTAGTTATATCTTTTTGTAAATTTTGAAATTGTTTTGTATAATATTCACGTTGAACTGTATTTATTGTCCATGGATCTTCAATAAAATCTTGTTCACTTTCATCATCATCACCATCAATATCTGATGATGATGCTGATGATGATGATGATGATGATGATTCATTATCACTTGAACTTTGATGATGTTTATTATGATTTGTATTTGTGGGTTTTTTTAAATACATAATCCAATCTTTTTTTAATGCTGATGGTTGATATGTTTGATTAATTGTATCATTTAAACGTAATGTATTTGAATTAACTAAACCTTTACCTTCATCATCAGATTCATTATAAGATAAATGTTGAATACTATCGGATTGTGAACTAAGAATTGATATTGTATCAATATCTAAACGTGAATGAATATCACTTATTGATAGTCCAGGATGACGAAGTGTAACGCCATCACTAGTTGTCATTTTTTTTTTGAATATATTGTCTTTTGTATGTTTGTTCACCGGTGGAAGAAAAAGAATAGAGATCTAAAATGCAATGTTAAATCAAATAGAAAAATGGTCGAAAATATTAAAATAATATGTAATGATTCATTATATTCTTAGACTTTCTATTAAATGGCTAATCAATCAACGAAACATAACATAGATTATGTCTACTGTACGTTAGTTAATTAAGAACTATATTTAAAAAAAAAATATAAATTCTTTATAGATGACACTAGTTATCGATAACATTCTCTAATCATGATTATCATATTTTGAGTATTTTCACGTTTGTTGAGAAAAATAATAGTTATGTTCATTATAAAAGGTGCATGAAGACGCTTAAAATAATAAGTTTTACATCTGGAAAACATCCAAAAGATTTTCTTATAGTATTTTTGAAAAATACCATTCATAGAAAAAAATGAAGGATTTTTACCTGTAAAACATGACAAATTATATTATGGGAAAGAAAAATGTTGCATATTTGCCAGATGTAATACTTCCTGTTAAATAGTTAGTTCTAGCTTTTTTTTGAATAGACATAAAAACACTCAAACAGGAACTGTGATTAGAGTACTTCAATGAAAAGTATCCTTGATTTCTATTCAATAATATTACTTACTATAACTTTGTTATTTAACTTGCTACTACGTCAATGATAGTAAACAAATATATTTAGGATATAATTATTCTAACTTACAATTGATGAATCAACATATAAAACATTGTTCTTGTTATTATTATGGTTGTACGTGGTGTCTTGCTATTGTTTTTATCTATATTTATCACGCGCGATGGATTTTTTTCTCGGTCGTTCTTAATAATAAGCTTTTTTCTTCATCAATAACGCAATACTGTTTCAACACGTTTATTTTCTCTTTTTTCTCTTCTTCTTCTTCTTCTTAATATTATTCGCTTCCTCATGAGAAAAACAAATTCTAATATATATATATATATATAGATAGATAGTCACTCAACAATTATAGCTTTGAATAAGTCGAACTAATCATGCTACATTGTTTCTTTATTCTAACATAGTTGTCCTTAATGAACTCCATAAAATGTAAAAACTATAATTCTATTCTGAAGAAAATGATAGTGCGATGACATGAACATTATTATTTCCTTCTTCTCTATGCTTGATTTCCTCTAATAATTAGAAAGAGAAAGAGCGAGAAAGAGAAAAAAAACTAAATAATTGTTATACCATTGATGATCTAAAACAAAAAATAGGTCATAGAAAACTTATACGGACGATATGGTTTTTGAGCACCACAAAATAAGACAAATGAACACTAAATTTATTATATGTCATATGAGCACAGAAAAAATAATAATATTAAAGCGATCATTCATTTATATTTAAATTCTGATATTGTATTATTAACGTAACAAGCTATTGAATTGTGATAGACTCAACTTAAATTAGGCGATGCCAATGACCTATTAGTTTTATATATAAAGCGTTTGTTAAAGAAAAAAATTTCTGTTAAATAACATAAAATGTCAAACAAAGAATATCAAGTTTTGGATATCGTTAACACACTCGATGAAGCTAACGCTATAATACAACAACATTAAGTGTCAAAATATCGAACGTGTAATTTATCTAATTCTACTTAATATTCATATTGATGTAGTCAATATCGGAAATATCCATTATGTTGATACGAAATACAAGTTTCTGTTCCAAGTAATAATTCAACATCGAGTAATTTAATTTTTAAAGATACACACTGTCATGAACAACGTAATACAACAGTTCACTTACCTTTTCGAATACGTGCATCAGTTGAAAAATATGTCAAATGTAATCTTACATAAAGTCATATTAAAACTATATTATCTATGGATTATCCACATATTTCATTACCAACTAATCAATTGTCAAATTTAATTGCTTATGTTCGACGAAAAAAAACAATCCCGATATTTTTTCAGTATACAACTTTAATCAATAGTGTAATAATCATCAATATAATGCTGATGGCTTACATGCGACTTTTTTTCCTTATTATTCGATTAATAATATCCATTATATTTTCGTATTCTTTTTACTACTAAAAAATTAATAAGTCAAACACCATTGACTGCATTAGCTTTGGTGCTCAAATGTCTTATTCTTTTTTGTGCTCATTTCATATGTTAATAATTTGGTGCTCATTTGTCTTATTTTGTGGTACTCAAAAAACATTTTTTCCAACTTATGGAATTTAATCACGTCGTATACTAATATCTTTGATCTATAGAAAGAAATTTTTCGTAAGCATTTATTTTTTTGTTATTATTATTAAATATTAATTAATACAATGAAAGTATGTTTAAAAAAACGTTTATATACATTAATTAACATTGTGTTTGTGACCATTTTGGATTCAATGTAGTTCCAGTAATTTTATAGCAATAATTAAACATAGCCGATGCAAAATTTTGAGTAAAAATACTTTTATAAACAGCAATAAAAGCAAGTGCTTTACATTCAAGACGATTCCAAACAGCATTCATAGGAGTATCCATTGTTGAACATTGAGCAACAGGAAACAGTCCTGTATCAGAACGACGAATATGAAATCCGTAATTTGGAGAGCGTGATTCAAGGTAACATTTTGCTAAATATGCACCATTATTACAAACACGAATGTACGCATCAATCGGAAAGAAAGTGTCTAAAGCAAAAAAAAAAACATAATTGTATTCAAATTTTATGGATAGATTCTTTTAATGTAATTATTACTGGAAATAAGAAGTAGACTAATGACGAAGTATTTCAACATGTTCTTTAGAATGCAGATATGATTCAATAGAAGAAAAAACAAAGTACAACTCTAGTACGTGTACTTATTGATAAAAATTAATTGTTCCTCTACAGACATATTCAATTACAAATCATAGTACTAGAAAAAGAAGAAAGAATAAATTTACTAATGACTTTCTCATTTTCAATTTAACAAATGATAATGATCAATTTGAAATCATATTACATGTTATCTAAGATACTGAACAAATTAAACTTCCTTTTTTCTCGTCATTACTTATTTTAAGAATACAAAAGAATTTTTTTTGGAAGTTACTCAATATCAGGACAAATACGTATGAAATGCACTCTTTGATTACTCGATTAAATGTATGTATATTCTGTCGGGTAGTTTGATGATAATCAAATTAAGTTATTTGAGGTCATTTCTCCCTATAAAGAAATGTCAATTTGTGTCAAAAAATATGGAAAATACGATTATTAAATTGGAAGATAGCTTCAGGTCTAATCTTTCATAAATGACATGATTTTTTTATTCGACATCTCGTTTTTTTTGCCAAAATTTTTAATGATCCATGTTGTCACTCTCTTGAAAGACAAGCTGTTTTTAGAAAAAATGGGAAAAGTTTTTCGTTTTTTTTTTTTTGTTGATACTTTTTCGATTACGCAATCCAGAATACTCTGTGAATCTTCATTCTTTTTATTTTATTTCGTTTTTTTATTTATTTAATAGATACCCATTTTAGAGAGTTTTTCATTATTAAACTTGCCATACCGATTGTGAGCTTAAATAGTAAGAATTTAAATAAAGGCTTTGTTCTACACTGCAGTCTGACACACTCTTTTAAACAAAAATAATCAAATATATAATGTGAGCTTCGACAGTGAACTTTACATTGGAATTGAAGGACATAATGTGAGAAGGTTTCTTCGTACGTTTCAAAATAACGGTCATAAAAGAAAAAGGATAAAAATTGTTTTCTTTATGATAAGCACTTAATTAAAACACGTGTCTTTGATCACATCGAACAAAAATGCTTTAATTCGACATTTATTACATGTTAAAAGAAAAAATATTCCTTATTGAACCACATATATAGATAAGGGTGTGGATTTAGATAAAAATGAAGAAGACAGACACACCTACATGTTCATGCTCTTAGTGTTAATTGATATTGTTTTATCTCTTTTGACATCTAAAAAGGAATGCGAATATCGGTCTCAAACTATGTTTGTTATCACCTGACTAGCTAAGTAATTACCATTAAATTAATTCTTCGAAAAGGATATTATGTTGGTAATTGTTGTTGTATTTCATCATCATTTATTCTTAAATGCATTCTCAAACTATTTGTGTCACTATCTTACTGTTAAAAAAGTTGACGCATGCAAAAATTGTCAATCTATAGTAAACATTCATGTTACAATAATACCAATTCCAGACAATGGACTTAGCTGAATTAATCGATGAACATATACTTTATGTGTTTTACACACCTACTCCATTCTATTTGGATTGTGCAGCGTCTAATAAACTAACTGTACGTCACATGAAGATTGCTCAATGATCATCAATATTAAGGGAACTTAAAAGAGGCTGACTTGCACAAACTACCCAGTATATTTACACTGACCAAATCTCTAAGTTGATTTGCGATAGGACGTGCATCATAAGCTGTTTATGATTTAGTATATCATAATAGTTTTTTTACGATCAGATACCAGTAACATAATGGCACGAGAAATCAAAATTAAAACAAAAATTGGCCAACAAATGTAAACAAAAGTTAATCAATAGAATTGAACAGCTACGATCCATCACTATGTTCATAGCCACAAATGTTAAATACTTATGTTTCTATTCAAACAATTAAGTTTTCTAAACTCATTTTAACTTCCAAAAAAAAATATGTATATTATTTATGGTCTAATTTTTCTAACAGCTGCTCAATAAATTGTTCGATTGTTCAACTAGTTCTGATTTACCAGAGTGTTGACAATCGAAATAAACTCAATACTACTCATACAATTACTCAGTGTTAATTAGCTATGTACCCAAATCTATAAGAAAATATATTTTATCTACAATTCTTACAGATGCTGTCTTAATTATTGAAACAAATAATGCATCTGCTGAATTAAATAATAATATTATTTCTTACGTGACAACTGAGCCTTATTAATATTCATGTCGTGGTACATCGAATTCTCTTCTTTCATCAACGAATCAAATATTCATCTCCAGGCTAACTTTGAACAATTAAATTATTACTTATCGATTGGTGCCTGATGCTGACAATACAAAAGTGCAGTAAAATATTCAACTTATTGGAAGTATTTGACAAAAATCATTAAGAATAAGAAAAACAAGCAAGTTTTTGCAAAAAGATTCATCTTATTTATTAGTAACCGTCTCTATTACTCTATTATAACTTATATACGAATATAATAGAAGTTATCATAATTTAACGATTTATTAATATAGATCAAATATAATTCTATAAATATGTTTTCGTATGAATTAAACTGTTTAATATGAAATTGTAGAATGCATTTTATTTACTATCGCTCATTGTTTTTGTAAAGGTTAAAAGCATGCCATTTTTACAAATAAATATATTGTATGTAGAAGAAAAAGTTGTTCAATATTCAGTCTTTATTTTTTCTAATATCATGTGCGATACGAGCAAACTGGACAAAATAGAGTTTTACCTAAACTCCTCCACACACAGAACAGAAAGCCAGTCTCATGGCTTTAATTTTCTGGGCATCAAGGAAGCCTATTGAGTTCGAAATGTGTACATATATAATGATAATGATCATTGTTTTAAATTAAATGATCAGATTGTCGTTATTCTAATTCTTTCGTTCTGTAATAGTTTTTTCTTTTTAAACTTAATAGATTCGTACGCCAATTATCACACGTTAATAATGCTGCTTTTAAATAACAATTGTTTTTCTTGTCTCTATTTTAATTTGTGATACATATATCGTAGTAGCCCGAAGCGGGAAGAAGTCGAGCCTCATCCTCAATCTTCGAAAACCTTGCTTTTTCTTGCTCGACCAATTTACAAAAAATTTTCTATGAAACAAAGAAAATTTTCAAATAACAATAGGCGATCCTCTCTAGGCACTGTCACTTCGAAACACCTCGAAATATATAAATTGATATTTGCATCTTAATACATATTCAATAATGTTAGTGTACTTTTTCTTGAGAAGCATATTACAAATTTTGCTATAGCAGATGAAAAAGTGGACCGCAATAGAAGTTTAAACTCACACTTGTAATTTTCAAAACTGATAAAATGTTTGATCGACAGCTGTGAACAACTATTGGTAGTTTTATGTATGTCGGTATAATGTGGATCAATGGACTCCGGTTCGGCTCACACTGTCTGCTTTTGCTCCGTTCGTATGACCATATTTGTTGCGAAATTACTCTATGACGCTAGATAATTGAATATGTCTCAGGTTTTTATGCTTTTACATCAGCTGCATTTTGGTCGTTACATCATAAAAAAAGTCGAATAAAAGTTTAACAATTTTTTGTTTCTAAAAACAGAAAAATATTATAATGTCAATTGACACGCCAATATCGTCATCATCATCATTTTCTGCTAATGATTTAAACACATGTATTGAGGTTCTTAAAAAATTTAATTCTAAGACAGCATATTCATTACTTGAATCAGATGAATATAATAATCTTCGACCATTAATTCATGATTTATGGCTTGCAGACAAACGATTAAAAAAGGCACGATTTAAAACTGAACGTCGTCAAACAAAATTAATTGATCAAAAAGCTAAAAATACATGTTTACTTCGTTCTGGTCGAGAAAAAAAACTTGAACAACTTCAATTACAACATATTCTTGTACCTGATGGAACAGTACAAATTCAATCAACAAAACTAGCAATTGAAAGTGAAAATTCATCATTATCAAATGTTCCTCAACGACTTCTTCATCCAAAAACTTGTTATATATGTAAACTTAAATATCGTACATTACATTTTTTTTATGATCGTCTTTGTCCAGCATGTGCAAAACTTAATTTTGAAAAACGTTTACAAACAACAGATCTATCAAATTGTATAGCTTTAGTAACTGGTGGTCGAGTTAAAATTGGTTATCGAATTGTTTTAAAATTATTACGTGCAAATTGTTTTGTTATAGCTACAAGTCGATTTCCAAAAGATTTATTAGATCGTTTAAATAATGAACATGATTTTAATGAATGGAAAAATCATATACATATTTATGGAGTAGATTTTCGTTATTCACAATTACTTGAACAATTTACACAAATGTTAATTGATAAATATGATCGATTAGATTTTTTAATTAATAATGCTTGTCAAACAATTCAACGACCAAAAGAATATTATCAACATTTAATTAATAATGAACGATTAATAAATTATTCAATTTTATCAAATGATTATCAACAAATTCTTGATGGAAATTTACAATTTTATAAACGATTATTACCAACATTTAATCGATTTTTATATCAATCATCATCATCATCATTATCACTTGCTTTACCTTCTTCTATAGAAGATTCAAATGAAATTTCTAAAACATCTTCAATAGATAATAATAAAACATTATTTGATATTAATCAACAACCAATTGATTTTCGTTCAACAAATTCTTGGATGTTACGTCTTGCTGATTTATCAACTACTGAAATAAATGAAGTACTTACAATAAATACATTAGCACCATTTATTCTTAATAGCAAATTAAAAATTCTCATGGCTGATAAACATCCAAATCCTGAAAGTATAAAATTTATTATTAATGTTTCAGCTATGGAAGGTTCATTTTCTCGTAAAAGTAAAACTGATCGACATCCACATACAAATGCAGCAAAGGCAGCATTAAATATGATGACAAGAACATCAGCAAGTGATTATAAAAATTCAAATATTTATATGATATCTGTTGATACAGGTTAGTTGAAACAAGAAAAATACATACAAAATTATTTTTGACGGTTATCTTCAGT